ATGGGGTTTCACCATGTTGGCCAGGCTGGTCTCAAACTCCTGACTTCAAATGATTCTCCACCTTGATCTCCCAGAATGCTGTAATTACAGGCATGAGCCACCCTGCCTAGCCCTTTTTTCTTTATCTTTTAATAAAGATTCTATTTTGAAGCCACCACAGGAAAAGTTGGAAGTACATTACACAGGACTGTTTTCCCTGAACTGTTTGAGTACATTGTCAACAGGATGCCCCATCACCCCGAATAGTTTAGTGTGTATTTCCTACAAGGGATAGTCTCCTACATAATCACAGTATAGCCATCAAAATTAGGAAATTAACATAAATATATTAATACCATCTAATCTTCAGATCCTATTCAAATTTTGGCAGTTGTTTCAATAATGTCCTTTATAGCAAAAGGATCCTGTCCAGAATTACTCATTGAAATTATCTTTAGTATCCTTCAATCTGGACTAGCTCGGCCTTTCCTTGATTTTCGTGACCTAAACACTTTTGAAGGTTACAGTCCAGTTATTTTATAGAAGGTCTCTCAATTTGGGTTTCTCTGGTGTTTCCTCATGATAAGATTTAGGTTATCCATCTTTGGCAGTAATGTCAAAGAAGCAATGCTGAGCCCCTGTCTTCATCCTTCAAATAATGCATGATTTTTTTCCTTTTTTTTTTTTTTTTTTTGACATAGAGTCTCATTCCGTCACCCAGGCAGCAGTGCAGTGGCACAGTCTCAGCTCACTGCAACCTCCGATACCTGGATTCAAGCCATTCCCCTGACTCAGCCTCCCTAGTAGCTGGTATTACAGGTGCCTGCCACTGTACCCTGCTCATTTTTGTGTTTTTAGTAGAGATGGGGTTTCACCATCTTGGCCAGGCTGGTCTTGAACTCCTGACCTTGTGATCAACCTACCTTGGCCTCCCATAGTGCTGAGATTGCAGGCATGAGCCACCATGCCTGCCTGGTTTTGTTCCTTTTCTTTTTTAAAAAAGACAGGATCTCAGGGCTAGGTGTGATGGCTCATGCCGGTAATCCAGCACTTTGGGAGGCCAAGGAGGAAACCTTGTCTCTGCTAGAAATAGAAAAAGTAGCTAGGTTTGGTACATATTTGTAGGCCCAGCTACTCACGAGGCTAGGGTGGGGAGGATGGTTTGAACCTGGGAGGCAGAGGTTGCGGTGAGCCAAGATTGTACCACTGCACTCCAGCCTGGGTGACAGAGCCAGACCCTGACTCACAAGAGAAAAAAGAGAGAGTGAAAGAGACAGGGTCTGGCTCTGTCATCCAGGCTGGAGTGTGATGGTGCAATCCCACCTCACTGAAGCCTTGAACTCCCGGGCTCAAGTGACCCTTCTGCCTCAGCCTCCTAAATTGCTGGGATTACAGGCATGATCCACAATGCTGACTAATTTTTTTTTTTTTTTTCTGAGACAGAACCTCATTGTGTTGCCCAGGCTGGAGTGCAGTGGCGCGATCTAGGCTCACTGCAACCTTTGCCTTCCAGGTTCAAGCAATTCTCCTGCCTCAGCCTCTGAGTAGCTAGGATTACAGGAGTGTGCCACCACGCCCGGCTGATTTTTGTATTTTTAGTAGAGACAGGGTTCCACCATGTTGGTCAGGCTGGTCTCTAACTCCTGACCTCATAATCTGCTCACCTTAGCCTCCCAAAGTGCTGGGATTACAGGTGTGAGTCACCGTGCCCAGCCCTGGCTCAATTTTTATTTTTATTTTATTTTCGAGACAGAGTCTCACTATGTCACCCAGGCTGGCCTTGAACTCCTGGGCTCAAGTCATCCTCCTGCCTCAGCCTCCTGAGTAGCTGAGACTACAGGTGCACACACCACCCCCACCATGCATGATTTGGATTTGTTTCATTACTGAGGAGGTTTGCTTTGATCATAAGGCGGTGTCTGCCAGTGTATTAGTTTCCTGTGGCTACTGTAACAAATTATCACAAACTTGTGGCTTAAAACAACAAACATTCTGTTACAGCTCTAGAAGGTAGAAGTCAAAATTGAGGTGTCAGCTGCACCACAGTGGCTCCCAAGGCTCTAGGAGAGAATCCATTCTTTGCCTCCTGCAGCCTCTGGGGGTTGTTCGGCATTCCTTGGTGTCCCTCAGCTTGTGCGAAGCACTATCATCTGCACCGCCATCTTCACGTCGCTTCCTCTGTGTCTTCCCTTCTGAGTGTTTCTTAGAAGGACACTTGTCACTGAATTTAGGGACTGTCTGGATAATCTAAGATGATCTTAAGATTCTTTTTTTCTTTCGAGACAAGGTCTGGCTCTGTCACCCAGGCTGGAGTGCAGTGGCACGACCTTGGCTCACTGCAAACTCCGCCTCTTGGGCTCCATCAATCGTTCCACCTAGCCTCCCGAGTAGCTGGGACTAGAGGCACACATCACCATACCTGGCTAATTTTTGTATTTTTTTGTAGAAATCAGGTTTCACCACGTTGCCCAGGCTGGTCTTGAACTCCTGGGCTCAAGTGATCCACCTGCCTCAGCCTCCCAAATTTCTGGGATTTTTTTTTTTTTTTTTTTTTTTGAGTCTTACTTTGTCACCCAGACTGGAGTGCAGTGGTGCGATCTCAGCTCACTGCAACCTCTGCCTCCCAGGTTCAAGCAATTCTTCTGCCTCAGCCTCCTGAGTAGCTGGGGTTACAGGCATGTCCCACCACGCCTGGCTAAATTTTGTATTTTTAGTAGAGACGGGGTTTCACCATATTGGTCAGGCTGGTCTCGAACTCCTGACCTTGTGATCTGCCCTTCTCGGCCTCCCAAAGTGCTGGGATTACAAGCATAAACCACCTCCCCAGGCCTGGGATTCTTAACTTAATTACATCTGCCAAGATTCTTTTCTTTTTTGAGACTGAGTCTTGCTCTGTTGCCCAGGCTGGAGTGCAGTGGTGCAATCTCAGCTCACTACAACCTCCATCTCCCAGGTTCAAGCAATTCTCCTGCCACAGCCTCCAAAGTAGCTGGGATTATAGGCACCCGCCATCATGCCCAGCTAGTTTTTGTATTTTTGTAGAAACAAAGTTTCACCATGTTGGCCAGGCTGGTCTTGAACTCCTGACCTCAGGTGTTCTGCCCGCTTTGGCCTCCCAAAGGATTACAGGCATAAGCCACTACACACAGCCCTTGAGGAGATAGTTTCTATATCTGTATATAAACTCAGGTATTTCTGTTTTATTCACTAGGTTAGAATACAATCACTTATTGTTCTGATGCTCAAATTGTCCCCATTTCGGCCACTCTTAACCCCTCCAAACTGACTTCTGTGTCCTTTTGACATGTCTTCATCATTTTTTGAGTACTTCCTTACTTTCTGGCATGAGATATTCCAGGCTTACTTTTTCTTTTTCTTTTCTTTTTCTTTTTCTTTTTTTTTTTTTTTTGAGACAGTCTCGCTCTGTCATTACCCTGCTGGAGTGAAGTGGCATGATCTCAGCTCACTGCAATCTCCTCCTCCCAGGTTCAAATGATTCTCCTACCTTCTCCTGCCTCAGTAGCTGGGGTTGCAGGCACGTACCACCAAGCCTGGCTAACTTTTGTATTTTTAGTAGTGACAGAGTTTCACCATGTTGCCCAGGCTGGTCTCGAACTCTTGACGTCAAGTGACCCACCCACCTTGGCCTCCCGAAGTGCTGGGATTACAGGTGTGAGCCACCGCGCCTGGCCTTCAGGCACATCTTGTGCTTCACCTGCCCCAGCCCTGGAATCAGCTTATTTCTTTAAGGAGCCTTCATTCCTTTTGGTGCAAATGGTATTTGGAAACTGAAGGCCAGGCACGGTGGTTCATGCCTGCAATCACAACACTTTGGGAGGCCTAGGCAAGAGAACTTTAGCTCAGGAGTTTGATACCAGCCCGGGCAACATAGTGAGATATTGTCTGTGCAAAAAAAAAAAAAAGTTTAAATTACCCTGGCATGGTGGGGTGTGCCTGTAGTTCCCACTACTCAGGAGGCTCCAGTGATACTGGGAGGTCGAGGCTGCAATGAGCCGAGATCACGCCACTGCACTCCAGCCTGGGCCACAGAGTGAAACTCTGTCTCAAAAAAATTTTTTTTAAAGAAAAGAAACCGAGATCTGAGTTGTCAGTGTGCTCTTTGGTGCTGGGGTGTAGTGTCTCTAAGGCTGTTCTCTGGCTCCCATGATCCTTAAATATTTACTTATTGGATCACTCCCCTTGCAGTAATCAAGCTCCCATTTCTGCTCCCATTCGTTCCCCACCATGTAGATGCCTTCCTCAGTCTTTCACCCTTCCTCATTTGAAGTACACAATTCAGTGGTTTTGTTTTGTTTTGTTTTGTTTTTTTAGGCAGAGTCTCCTTCTGTATCCCATACTGGAGTGCAGTGGCACAATCTCGGCTCACTGCAACCTCCACCTCCTGGGTTCAAGCCATTCTCTTGCCTCAGCCTCCTGAGTAGCTGGGATCACAGACACACATTGCCAAGCCTGGCTAATTTTTGAATTTTTAGTAGAGACAGGGTTTCACCATGTTGGCCAGGCTGGTCTTGAACTCCTGAGCTCAAATGATCCACCCGCCTGGGCCTCCCAAAGTGCTGGGATTACAGGCGTGAGTCACCATGCCAGCCTCAGTGGTTTATATATATTCAGAGAGTTGTTTACCTATCCCAAATAAAATCAATTTTATATAACATTTCCATTATCCTAAAAAGACACCTCACACCCCTTATAGACCTACAGCTTTTTACAAGGCTAGAAGTGGAGCGTGGTAGAGGAAAGCAGCCTTTGCTCCCGGCTTACTTAACCAACTCTGGCCCAGAGTTTCCGATGACCTAAAAAGTCAGCCAGTTATCAGACCTGCCCTGAGTCTATCATGGCAACCCCACTCTGGCCTGCTCAGGATGACCCCACAGGCCCCTGTCCTTCACCTCCCTATGCAGACGTCTCAGCATGCCTATCTTTGGTGGCAACAGAGTGAAAGAAGGGTTGCTCTTTGCCTTCCATTGGCCAGCAAAGCCACTTCTACCCTCCCCGGAGAGATGGAAAGGAAAAGTGACCCTAGTGTACGGAGCTGGGTTGGGGGCCTCCAGCCCAGCACAGTGATGGTAGGGAGGACCCTCCAGCCTAGCTCGGTGATGGTAGGGAGGACCCCAGGGTCTTCATTTTTGGTTCCAGGACTTGAGTCTCAAAAGTCAGGGCATTTGTACTCTATGAAATAAGAGCAGACTCTTGATCATTGTAGCCCCCTCCACCCACCCTAAGAGGCTCTGTGACAACAAAATCCAGAAAGAGACAGTGGGAGCAAAGCGGTGAGCATTCTGTCATGGCTCAGAAGTGTCTTCCCGCAGGAGAAGAGTGTTCTGCTTGCTCTAAGCCTCCAGGATTAAGAACAGATATGTTTGTGTTGTGGAGTGGGGAAGGGTTCCACTCTAGGTTCCACTTCTATCAGCAAACTTTTGTTATCAAGAAACCCCCATGGTTCTCAAAGAATGAGACATGGTTCCTGGAATCGCTTGAACTCAGGAGATGGAGGTTGTAGTGAGCCAAGATTGTGCCTATCCACTCCAGCCTGGGCAACAGAATAAGACTCAGTCTCAAAAAAAAAAAAAAGAGAAAGAGAGACATGGTTCCTGGAAAAATGAGCTGCCACACACTGATAACATAAGACAAAGTGTGACAAATGTTAGGAGGAGGTAAAAAACATTACGCTGTAAGGCTTAAGGAAGAGAAAGAAAGTTTCCCAAGTACAGGGCTGAAGAATTCATACCTAGAGGAGGGTACACTTGACCTAAACTGTAACAGGTGGTTAAGGTTTAGACGGCGGGCATGGGCGGGCAGCTCACAGCAGTAATGAAGAAGTGACACAGAAGATGTAGAAGTTCCACCATCTTCCTCTTGGAAGCCCTTTAGGCAATAGATCCAGGATGAACGAGGGAGGGAAAGGGAAGAGGTAGTCATCAGAAGAATCAAACATTGGGCTTTTGGACACAGGGACAGGAGCCTCAGTGGAGGTATCTGCCAGAGCAATGGCACATGTGTCTTGAGGAGGCAGGAGGTGAACAGCAGTGGTGGAAGTTCAGGACCTGTGGCAGAGTCCAGATTCCCTCTGGCTGAAGTCTAAATGGACCAAGGTGAGAAGCAGAGAATGAGCAGAGAGCCTCTGATCACACTGGGAGGGGGTCAGCCAGGGCTTTCAAGGTCAGCCAGCAATAGGTCCCACTCACTTTGCAGATCAGGTCAGCAGCCCAGGGATCTGGCTCAAAGTGAACTTAGAGGTCTGTGTGGGGAGCTTGGATGTCAGGATGTGGGACAGCTCGGCTGAAAGGCAAGGAACCGGGAGGCTGCATTCTGCTTCATCCTGGATCAAGATTCTAGCAAAGGGGAGTTCCCAGGGTGTCTCCCGCTCTCCACACTGGAAGAGAGGATGGTGAGAGCAACAGACAGAATGAGAAAAGGCTGGTCCCACAGAGTTAGCTGGAGCTGAAAAAGTGACTGTCTCTAGAGAGAGGAGAGATTGGTGGGCAGTTTTTGTGACTTGGACATTAAAACACATACATACTCTCAAATGAAGTTGCATTCAGGCAAATGCAAAGAAATATAGAATCTGTATTTATAAAAACCAAAGGGAAAAAAGGGAAAACAATGCCTTGTGTGAGAATAATAAACATCAAATTCTATTGTTGTTATTTTTTTGAGATGGAGTCTCCCTCTGTTGCACAGGCCGGAGTGTAGTGACACAAACATGGCTCATGGTCTTTGACCTTCTGTGCTCGGTGATCCTCCCACCTCAGCCTCCCGAGTAGCTGGGACTACCAGTATACACCACCACACCCAGCTAATTTTTTAATTATTTGTAGAGATAAGGTCTCACTATGTTGCGAAGACTGGTTTTAAACTCCTAGCCTCAAGTGATCCTCCTGCCTTGGCCTCCCAAAGTATGGGAATTACAGGCGTGGGCCACCACACCCAGCCATTAAACATGGAATTCTATAAAATGTTTATCCCTGTGGTGAGAAGGAGGGGCGAGGTCAGGAAGTGAGGGCTTCTGTTTTAATTGTAATATTAACATTTTAAAAATAAATGTGACAAACTATTGAGAGAAGACAGAGCTGATGGTTGAGACTTGGAGATTTAGAGACGTATTATGTATTTATTAAAGAGAGAGTGTACTATCTGCAGTTTCCATTGTGTTTGAACTATTTCATTTAGAAAGAAAAGATCAAAGGACAGTAACTCCAGGAAATCGGTTGGGGCGAGGAGCCAGCATGACTTGGTTGGGGGCAGGTTGGGTTGGGGCGCTGGCCAGCCTTCTGGGATCTGGTGGAGGAAGGGTGATCAGGCACACCCGGCTCCTGAAGCTGGCAGGGGGCACGAAAGGAGGTGCCAAGGAGGAAGATTAAGGTACTATCAGAGTTAAGGGCAGAGCCCAGGGTAGCCCAGATGTTCCAGGAAGGAAGTGCAAGCGAAGGAGACAGCGGTAAGAGTGTGTGCACAGGGTGTGTGCCTGCAGGCCCCGCAGACGTGGCAGCTCCGGATAGGGGCTGTTCTAGGGCGGCCAGCCCTCCTTTACCCAGCTGGCCGCCAGTCCCAAAGGGAGCCCCGTGCCGGCCCGGACAATGCACCAGGTAGACTCTGCTCGCCCCTTCCTGCCAGGCTGGGCTGACTCCCTGTGGGGGGCCCCATGTCTGTCACCCGCCTGTGAGCTTCCCCTTTTCCTCTGTACATCTAGAGATGCTTCCCCACCCCCTGCCCTGGGAGCTTTGTGGCCGGGACCCAAAGATACTTGCAAGGTAGGGAGTTGGGGGGGTGTCTTTCCACAGGCAAAGGGATGCGTGTGGGAGATGGGATAGCTTGGACAGTGGGACTGAGGGACTAAAGGAAATGGGTTTGTCTTGGGCAGCCTTTCCTGGCCTACCATGGGTGGGGCCACGCTGAGGGTGCAGGGTTAGAGGGAGGGGCTCCACCTGCTAAGATCTGCTCCAGGGTGGCCCATCTGGGAAGGGGAAGCTAAGGAGGAAAAGTTTCTTGGGTCTGCGAGGACCTCATCAACTCTAAGGCTTACAGTTTTGTGTTTTGCCACCTTCACTACAGTGCCACCACCCTTATCTAACACCCAGCAGGGTGGAGACAGACAGGCGTACAGATCATGACCCCCAGCTTTTGGTAGAACACTGAGATTTTGACAGAGGAAGACTGGCACAGGTTCTCCTCAATCCATCCTGGGCAGAGCCAGGAGTCCACAATAGGCACCCCCTCCCCTCCAGGACCCCAGAACCTGATGCTGAGACCTCGGCGGGGTGGCGGGGGCACAGTTATAGGAGAGGCATCCCCCTGCCTCACTCCAAGCTTCTAAGATTCATGTCCACTCTACCTCTCCCCTGGCCAGGGTGCTGTCTGTCTGACTTCTGTGCAAGTGGGGAGTAAGGGGAGCCTAAGATGCTTGACAAGGACCTCCTTTTCCCAGGACTTTAGGAAGCAGGTGCTCTCTCACTACTGCCCAGGATGTGGGGACAGCAGCCCACAGCATGCCAAGACTCCGGACCCAGGGCACAGGATCTATTTAGGAATTTTGCTGGAGACCTGGGAAGAGGCAACAGTGGGAAGAAACTTGGGAGGCCAAACTCTATATGCTGAACTGTGATGAAGCCAGCACTCTCTTTGTCCCTATCTGAATGACTTTGTCTTCCTGCGTCTGTTTCTTTTTTCTCTATCTTTATTTCTGTCCCTGTTTTTGTGTGTCTTTTTCTTTCCCTTTTCCTCTTTCTCCCTCTCTGTGTCCCCCTCTGCCTTTTCTGCCTTTTTCTTTTTCATTTTCTTTTTCTTGAGATGGAGTTTTGCTCTTGTTGCCCACGCTGTAGTGCAATGGCACAATCTCTGCTCACCACAACTTCCACACCCCGGGTTCAAGCGATTCTCCTGCCTCAGCCTCCCAAGTAGCTGGGATTACAGGCATGCACCACGATGCCTGACTAATTTTGTATTTTTTAGTAGAGACAGGGTTTCTCCGTGTTGGTCAGGCTGGTCTTGAACTTCTGACCTCAGGTGATCTGCCTGCCTTGGCCTCCCAAAGTGCTGGGATTACAGGTGTGAGCCACCGTGCCCAGGCTGCCTTTTTCTTTTATGGTCTCTGTTGCCATGTGGTTTACCTCTGTATTATCTGTCTCTTTCTAGGTCTTTACTCTGACTTTTTGTCTTTCTGCCTTTGTCTCTGGTCCCTTGCCCCACCTCCCACCTCAGGTTCCTTTGGGTGTTTGTCTCTCTTTATTTTGGTCATTTTCTGTGTGTATACATCCATGTCACCCTCTCTCTCTGCCACTCCCCTCCCAGGCTGGCCACTACTCCTGGCCCTCTCCAGCTGTGAACAGCTCATGGGGGCAGGAGCCCCAGAGGCAGCTTCCGGAGGTGCTAGGTGGCACCTGGGAACCACCTCGAGGTGACGGGCTGCACATAGTCACCATCATCGTCACTATCTTTGTTCTGCTGGCAGTCTGCATCGTGGTGGCAGTCCACTTTGGGCCAAGGCTGCACCAGGGCCGTGCCACACTCCCTACAGAGCCATCAACCCCAAAGCCGGAGGATGGCATCTACCTCATCCACTGGCGGGTGCTGGGCCCCCAAGACAGTCCTGAAGAAGCACCGCAGGGCCCTCTTGTTCCTGGCTCCTGCCCTGCGCCAGATGGACCCAGGCCCAGCATCGATGAAGTCACACATCTATAGCAGCGAGACTGGAAAGTTAGCCTGATCTAGCTCAGAACAAGAAACCAGACAGAGAAATAGGGCAAAAGCAAATTGGAGCCTGGGCATCAGAGCATCGGAAGGGCACACTGGACTCAGCTGGAGCTGCTATCTCAGAACATTTATAGAGAAAGTCCTGTGGTAGGCAGGAGACATCAAAGAAGCTCGAGGGCCCTGCCCAGAAACACGCTGCTGGGGGCCTTCCCAGGGCCCGAGGCCACCTCACAAGGTCACTCCCTCTTCAGGGACCACCAGGCCCCTAAATCATCTTTTCCAAGTCTCTGCTCCTTCACCGAACCCCTAGCCTCCTTCCCTTTTGTTGTAACATGAATCCAGCTTGGGAGGTTCCACCAGCTCCCCCAAGCAGGAATGCCAGAGGCCCCATGGAGCGGCCCTGATCCTACAAAGGCCAGCCAGGGAGACCCCAGGCAGGGAAGCTGGGGTCCACCTTCCCTGAGACTCCCTGGGCTCAGGGAAGTGACGAATGCCTATCCTCCGTCAGTCAGGGGCCATCCTTCAGCTGTCAGGGCCCAGACCTTGTTGACAAGCTCTAAAGTCCTTGTAAGCCCAAGCACAATTTATAGTTCAAAGGCTGGCTTTCAAAGGTCCCCACCAACTCTGTCTTGCCTCCCCAGAAGGGATGGGGGGAATTTGGGGGGCTCTCATTGCCTTCCACTTTCTGTGTGCCTGGGCCTGTTGGAAAAGCCTAGAATGTACCACAGGACATTTCCCAGATCTTTCCAGCTGATGAAAAAACAGGAAAGGAAAAGGAGCTCCATGGAACTTGTTTGGGGAAGGAAGGAGTGGGGTGGGGACCACTACCAGCAGTGGGAGGGCCTGGATCTAGTCAGCAGGGGGGTCAGGAAGATGCAGCCAGGGGCCAGGAAGACAAAACTGGACTTTCTGGTGGCTCAGTGCCTCCTGGTGGCACTGCCTTCCCCAGCACCTCTGAATCTCACTCATCTGTAGTCCAGAACATGCAGACAGACATTTATGGCGGGACCTCTGGTGCTTTACCCTGGAGAACCCCTGGGGGCATTGGCTGGGAAATAACAGAAGATAAAAAGGAACAGAGGTGGGGACTGCAGTGTGTACAGAGGACAGGCTTGCCTCCTTTGGGACTGGGGAGAGGCAGCTAAAATGTTAATAGCTGCCCCTTGTTGGACAGGGGCAGGACACCAGGCTTCTCTGTGGACCTACAGATATGATACCATTCACTCCTCGAAAAAACCTCCAGGGGAGGGGCCGCTGCTATCCCTGTTTTACACTTGGGGACACTGAGGCTTGTTTATCAAGACACCTAGGTAGACACAGGTACTAAGCAGTGAAGTCAGGATTTGAACCTGGGGTCATCAGAGTCCACAGCCTAAGCCCTATGCTAGGGACTGGATGGATTGGAAAGACCTTTGATTCTGGGCTGGTTTCTGGTATACGAGCCACTGGTGTGATGATGGGGGATTCTCAGGCCTTGGGGACAGGGTGGCTGGGATACTTCAAGAAGTGGGGACTGTTCCCGCTTGACCCCCTTGGCTCTGCCGTCCTTAGGGGCAGCCGGTTCCTTCTGACCAATGAGTGTCTGTGTGGAGCATTTCTCCACAGTGATGCTGTACTCAGAAATGTATACTGAGCATTTGTGATAAAAAAAAAAAAAAAAGGTGGGAGGGAGGGAATGAGCCCAGCCTGATGGGACAAATGGAACTAGCAGAGATGAGGTGCCTTCCCTCCCAGATGGAGGCAGCTGCGCCTCCACAGCGTTGTCACGGTGGCTCAGTTCTGACCATGATGGCGAAAGGTACGGCACGGCAGCTGGTTGTGCTGTCCAAGGCCCTCCAGGAACTGTCCCATCTCATCACACAAACTCTTTCTCCCTTGTCCCTTTGCAGGCTCACTCATCTGGCACATATAGTTAGTGACCCCTGCTCCTTTGAGTGGCCCCTTGCCCAGGACACGGCTGTGTACCCTTCATGGCATCATCTGTGGGCTGGCTCAGGCCAAGCCCATGGTCCCTGCTCCCCAAGCCTCTCACTGGAGACAAGGGCACTGAAAGGATAGGTGCCCTCAGCACAATGGATAGGCTCCATCCAGATGGAAAATGACACCCAGCCCCCTGCTGGCCTGTACTAGGATGAGGAGGGGTGCAGGGAAGCATGCATGTGCAGGCAGGTTTGGGGCATCAGGGACAGTAAATCCCATCTGTTATATCAGAGTCCAGCAGGAAAAAGACGACACTCACATTGGGTAATCTGAGGCGTGCTTTAAAAAGGGATCATTGAGAAAGGGTGGAGTGTAAGGAAACTGAAGGTGAGAGGGAGGACTCTAGTGGGGTGGGGGTGGGGCCCATACACAGCTAGACTTAAGGGGCCAGGGGAGGAAGCAGTTCCAGAACCCTAGAGACAGTCTTGGTTATGCAAGTGTTGCCCGGCAGGAGAGCCCACAGCAACCTTGATGCTGCAAGGTGGGAGCGGGGGGATTCACTACCCCAAATTCAGCCTCCTCCCCTCCATTCTCCCACTGGGGGTCCCCAATAATGGAACATGACCAGGAGCCAGAGGGCAAGGGAGCCTGTTGGTACCATCGAGAGAGTTTGGTATACCAGAGCAGAGGAAGGGAAGAAGGGTGGGGAGTAGGTCTGGAAGGCCCAATGAAAGACACCTGGCACATGCCTTAAGCACCTAGAATCCAGAGCTTACGAGAAACTTCGACACACTCAGTCCTCACTACAACCGTGAGGGAGGAAGGGCAGTGATTATGATCCCTTTCATAGGCTGAAGCCACCGAGGCTCAGAGAGGGGAAACAACTGGCCCAAGGGGACAGGACTCCTCTCAACACATCAAGTCCTGGGCCTTTCCCTGCAAGGCCCCTGTTGGGGGAAATGGCTCTGCTGGACATTCAGCCACTGAAGAAAGCCCCCAATCCAGAGCCTTGGAGACCACCGGAGGCTCAGGCAGAGTGACCTTGGGTCTCAGAAAAGATCTGAGCGGAGAGGGAGGGGCTTTTCCATTCCGCTGATGAGGAGCTCAGGCTCTTGGGACATCGTGGAGGTAATGGGCACCTCTGAGGTCTTCAAGCTGCCCACAGTAACTTCCTCCTCTTCCTCCTGCCGCAGATGCCGGAGAACCTCCTGGGACAGCAAGAAGCTGCTTCCATCTGCAGGTTCTGAAACAGGGAGATGGTGGAGAGCGGAGTGAGGACCTTACACATTCCCACTTGAACACGTCTAGAAGACTTGCTGGGAAGATCCCCTAACCCTCCCTACCCGCTCTTCCTACCCACCCCCTACCCCAGCCACTGGGGCTAGAGTTTCATGGAATCCTAGAGCTAGAAGTGGTTTCCGGGAGAATGAAATTCCACCCTCTCACTTTTAGAGCTGATGCTCAGAGAGGAGCAGAAACCTGCCTGAGGTCACACAGTGAGGGAGCATCAGAGCCGAGGCTGCAGCCCCAGCCTCCAGTGCCTGGTGCATACCAGCCTGGGACTCTTCTGTTTCCTCCGGAATCCTAGATAAAGTGACAGGCCCCTAGAACCCACTTCTTCAAGCTTCATGGAGGGACTACAGTCAAACACCTAAAAAAGCAATCTGGTATGCTGAGAAGAGGGGGGCTTCTCCCAGGGAAGGAAGGACAGGCCCAGGGTGTGGTGCTGCCATAGCTCCTTCTGACTCTTTGGAAGACCCTGGGACCCCTGACTCCTGCTGCCCTCCAGCCTATCAACCCCTCACCCTATCAACCCCTCATTCCATCAATCCCTCACTC